GCCTCTCAGGGGGTGATTCATATTTCAATATATTCCAGCTGAAAAAAACGATCAGCTTTTGAGCAGGTGGTAAGCAAGTACATGGAAATTTGATATATTTTGACTAATGCAGTTTGAAATTTGAAAACTGCAGACAATTTTATTCAAGATCCATTTTTATACCAACTCATTATTGGGGGAAAAAGGCAAGATTGCAGATTTCCTGTGAACCCAGACCTGTTACCACTGAGCCCCACTTAAGCAGGCTTGACCTGGCCAGCCAGCCTGTGCACTGCCGGCTGCCTGCCTTAGCTGCCTCACATCCCTGCCGGAAACTCTTTCTTTAGCAGCCTCTTTCAAGTGTCCCTCTGGGGGTTACTAGTCCAATTTAATCTGACCTTCAGCCCCACCTCTGTCGCACCAACTCCAGCAAATCCCTGGGGCTGGCACTTAAGACAAGTTTTGTGATACAGCCGAGGGTATTACACAGAATTTCCACTTCTTTCCCCATCTGCCTTGTCCATTTCCCATGCCTCCTGAGTGTGAAGCCCAAAAAGAGGAAATAAGTAATGGAGATGCGGGAGGGCTGACATTATTGGCAAGGGAGCAAGGGATGTGGGAGAGCTGTGTGTTGAGGTGCTAGAGGGGGTCATGCTGGGAGAAGGGGTCTCTGAGAGAACAGGTGCCTCAAAGGACAGCCGTGTCTCCTCCCATCATGAAATGCCACCTCCATCTTGTTTGAATCCTGGTTCCACTATTTTGGGCAAATCGCTGCAATTTGTTGAACCTCACTTTTCTCAATAGTAAATTAAGAAGAATATTCAAGGAATGTATGTGATTACCCCAGGGTGGGCACACAGAGGATGTTCAACACGTTAGCCTCCTTTGGCTCCCCACTGTCTCCTCTTCACATGAGGCAGAGATCTTGCCTCCTCTAGAAGCAAGTCTGACTGGGAATGGAAATAGAGCTAAGGGTTGAATCTCTGAGAGCCCCAGTGGTTGGTGGTTTCCTAAGTGCTTTGTGAGCTACTCCTTCTGAAAGTTGACTTGTCAGTATACATCAGAAGGATGTAACTCAACACAGCCCATCTAAGAAAAGAAACAGGAATTTGAACAAAGCTGTGTGCACAAAGATGTTCATCCCAGCATTATTTAGTTTTCATTTAACTGAACCTTTAGAGAATTAATAGATACATTGGCCCAGGTAGCCCTTAGCATGGGTTTCCGTAGACACACAGTAATAAATCAAAAGTCACTGACAGGTATACAGTGACATTTTCCTCACCCCAGTCCCTCAGCTTCCCAGCAGCCCTCCCAGAAGGCAACTAATATTACTGATTTCTGCCATGATAATTTATAACAGTGAAAAATGAGAGACAATCTAAATGTTTCACAGATAAATAAATTATAACTTACCTATACAGTAGGATCCTCGGCAGTCTCTAAAAATCTTGCCTGTTACTACATCATTTTTCTTTCTGTTACTTAACTGAGTTCTGCTTCTGGCTTCAGGCCTTCAGCATATGTTGTTCCTTCTGGCTGGAATTCCACTTTGCTTATTCTCAACCTCCAAACTCCAAGCCTTCTCACCTCAGCTGAGAGGGGAGCCCCCACAACCCTCACAGCTCCCCAAATCTCTCTCCCCACTCCGCTTTACAATTAAACACAGCCATAGATAAGGGCTGATTTCCCCATTAGACTGCATGTCCTGGGGTGGAGCCCCTCTGGGCTCCTCTGGGCTCCTGTTGCTGCCTTGGTACAGAACTGCTGAAAGAATGGGATGGTTGAATCAGGGAATACAGAGCAGTATATATAGCATGATCTCAACTTTATTTCTTGAAATAAAAATTTAATTTAAATTTTTATATAGCCCTACATAAATGAAGGAAGTATTGAAAGAAGGTACCATAAGGCCTGTCGATGGTTGTGAGGGATAATGGGAACGTAGTGATATTTCTTCCTTTTTACTTCTCTATTTTTCATATTGCCCACAATTGGCAAGTATTATTTTAAAATTAAAGTAAACAATGATGAAAAACTTTAAAGGAAAACTTGATAGGTAAAAATAGGGCTTGGAGCCCACATAGGAAACCATGCTAAGTGCTACCTGAACCAATATCCCAGGCCTGGGGTCTGAGGATGGGCAGAGGTGGGCCCCTGTAGAACATGCAGTGCTCAGGCCAGTGAGCAACGTGAATCCAGGACCTGAGATGCTCAGCTGGGTGCCATAAATGGCCTGTCAGAAGAGATACCACAGAGAGGGTCAAAGGAGAAGAGTGTATGGGGCAAGGAGGTATGAGGTACATACCCAAGAATCTAGCAGGAAGTGATGAGAACTTGGGCAGAGGCTGAGTCAGTAGGGATTAGAAACTCTTGTTTTCCAACACCTTCAATTTCCCTGTCCTTCCTCTACTCTGTGGCCTCACCTGGGAACCCCAGCCCTGGGTGACACTTCCCTGCCTCCCACTACACCTGAGTAGCTAATATTGCTGGAGAAAGCCCCAAATCTAGGCTAACTGGACCCACAGAGGACCCTCCAGTGACTGGGATAGCTGGCTCAGTCATGACATGGGATACCTACACAGTTCTGTCTTTCTCCTCAGGCTCCCACCCTCATCTCTCCCTCCACTCTCAGCTGAGGACCCCACTTCATAGAGAAAACAGAGGCCGCCCAAGTCTAAGTCCATCATCTTCCCTGTGTATACTGTAGTCCCCCCATTAAAGTGGGCAGGTGTTCCTCTGAAGCTTTGGGCCTCATCTTCTTCTGCCTTTCCCGCCTACTGCTTCAGTTTCTCCCGCTCCTCCTGAATCATGTTCACTGGCATGCAAACAGGCTCTATTTCTTTCACCTCAGAAAGCAAACACCAGGAGGGTGTGGGGGATGGAGAGAGGATGGGTAATGGGTACAGGGGTACAGTTGGATGGAATAACTTCTAGTATTCTATAGGAGAGTAGGATAGCTGTGGTTGACAATTAATTATATGGTTCAAAATAGCTAGTAAAGAGGATTTTGAATGTTCCCAACACAAAGAAATGATAACTGTTTGAGGTAATGGATATGCTAATTGTTCTGATCTGATCATTACAATTGTATACATGTTTTGAAATGCCACACTTACCCCATAAATATGTACAATTACTATATGTCAATTGAAGATAAAACTATAATCTTAAGAAGATAAAAGGAAAAAAAAAAAAGAGGAGAGAACTGGGTGCCAGTGGCTCATGCCTCTAGCTACTTAAGAGGATAAAATTCAGAAGGATCTAGGTTCGAGGCCAGCCTGGGCAAATAGTTAGACCCTGTCTCCAAAATAACCTGAGCAGTGGGGGTGAATCTAACCAAGGTACATTGTTAGCATATATGGAAATGCCACAATGAAACCTCCTGTACAACTATTATATGCTAATAAAAATGTTAAAAAAGAAAGCAAAGCAAAATGGACTGGAGGCATGACTCAAGAAGTAGGGCACCTGGTGTGTAAGCACTAGCTTTGCTAGTGTGAAGCCCTAAGTTCAAGCCCCAGAAAAAAAAAAAAAGATAATAACCACCCTCAGCCCACACCCCAGAGCACCTTCATCATTTCTCTGCCCTTTCACAGCAAAACTTCCTGCATGAGTGGACGCTAGGTGGCCAAAGACACTCCCTCCTCCCTGAGTCTCCCAAGAGGAGTCTCCCCTGTTCCATATTGGAAGGCAGGGCCACGTGCCTTATTTTGACCAATGAAATGGGAACGGGGTGACTCCTGTCCCTTGAAATAAATGTGGAAGGAGTCAATGGTTGACCCTGTCCTCTTGTCTTTTCCCAGCCATGTTCTGGGTCAAGGATGCTCATTCAACCTGGTTCCCTGCACAGAACCTCAGCTGTCCCCTATCTTGGGAGTTCCCTATCTTGACAACAAAGGCATGAACCATCGTGCTTCTGGGCCACTTGTTATCACAGCACACCCTGGCCTGTCCTGGCTGATCCACTGCCACCTCCCCTTCCTTGCCTTCCACTCCAATATGTCTTATGCCCCCACCATCCTGCCAGAAGTGAACTTGCCAGGGCCACTGATTACCTCCATGTTGCCAAATCAATTGGGCACTTCACTGTCCTCACGTAAACTCTCAGCAACCCTCACCACGTCGATTCTTCCCTCCTGGAAATACTCTTGGTTTTAGTGACCCACATTCTCCTGGTTTGCCTCTGACCTTACTGGCAGTTCCTCCTTTGCTGGCTTGTCCTCCTCTCCCCTCCTCCAAAAGTGTGTGTCATAGGCTTCAATTCTGCATCCTTCCTCTCCATTCTCCTCTGTGACCCCATCCATTCCCACAGATTAAATGCCATCTGTATGCTGATGGCTCCCAAGTGTACCACTCACCTCTGGGCTCCTATGTTGTGTATCCAGTTGCCCCAAGTAGACATCTCTGTGGGGCTTCCCCGACTTCACATGGTTAATTGAGTTCTCAGTTTCCTCCTTCAGTCTCTGTGGGACCCTCCTCCTCTGAGTCATGGGGAAGCCACCTGTGGTCTGTCTATCCCCTCCCTCTCACATGGGTCCAACTTGATGTTACCAAAAACATTTCTCCAGGCTGTCCATTGTTCTGTCTCTAGAACCCCAACATCTCTCACAGACAATGGCCACAGGCCTCCTTGCCTCCCCTCTTTCTCCCCATCAATCCATCTTCCAATAGCAGCCCCTCAAATCCAATCACAACAGCCCCACCCAAGGCTCATCAGTGACTTCTTGCCACACTCAAAATTAAATCCAAACCCTTTACTGTGTGTCACTTTTAAGACCCTGCTTGTCCATTCCTTCATCTGCATCAAACTCAGAGCCTTTGTACCTCCCATTCCCTCTGATGGGAAGGCTGTTCTTCAGCTGCTTCTTTTTTAGGTTTCAACTCAAGTGTCACTCTTCAGGAAAGCCCTCCATGAGCACAAAGTAGTTCCCTTTATTTGTCTGAGTCTCAATCCAGTCTTCATGTTCTGAACTCTTACAATTTGTTGTTTTGTACATGTTTGGTTCCTTTTGTTTAAGTGTCTCCCCTCAGAATGGAGGCCCCATGAGGGAAGGAGTCACTCCTACTGTTGCAGAGCTGAGCACAGAGTCTACCTCTCATGGGAACAAAGGAGATATGAGGTGAGCAGCTGCAGAAAAGGACGATGGCAGATTTGGGCTGTGCTCATAGCCCCAGTGCCAGTCCTGAATACCTCCCACTGATTGCAAGGAAGGGATGGCTCCTGACAGAGAGTTCTGCACTTGCTTCTCAAAGACAGGGTCCCAGCTCCTCCTTTGAATCGCTGACTGTTCAGCCTTGCCCAGTGGTAGGGTTTTCAGGGTTTGGCAGACCCCCACCCAGCTCCCTGTCCCTCATACCCCACAGACCCCTCCAGATAAGCATTTCCATAGATGCCACCCCCACAAAGGTCCCCTCTACACTGCACACACTTCAGATTTATCACTTACTTGTGGGGAGAGGCAGTTGGCTCCACCAGGTGCTTGGGCAGGAGGCAAGGCCCAGAAACTTTCTGGGAGGGTGCTGTGTTCAGAAACACACAGTCCTCAGTCTTAGAGTATGGGCTGCCAAAGCCCAAATATGGGGACCTCCAAACCAAGGAGCAAATTTGAGTAACATGAGGGCAATTTTATGAGCAGGGGTGGGGAAAGCTGCAGAGGTGAAGGTAGAGTTCATGTGCCATGGGCTTCCAGCAGAGAGATGCCAGGTCCAGACGGGGATAAAGGGACTGGTAGAAAGGGCAAAGCAAAGAGGCCAGGACCCCTTCCCCTTGGCCTAACGGAGCCTCAGCCCTGCATTAGGCCCTCTGTATCCAATCTGCCAGGACTCTGGTGTTGCCGAGTCAGGGTGGATAGAGTGAAAGCCAGGGTCCCTGGGGGGTTGGAGAGAGTACTGAGGCACTAGGAACAATGCCCTTTGCTAACAATAGCAGTGACACAATCATGCCACTTAGCAGGGCCTCCCACACAGCCTGTGCAGGGCTAAGCAGCTCAGGTGCCCAGGCTCACTGAGTGATCCCTGTACTTATAAGGCAGGTGCTTACTCCCACTTTCCAGACTAAGAAACTGAGGCCTTGGGAGGTTTTCTGACCTGCCCAAGGCTGCTCACCTCATACCTCCTTTGTTCCCATGAGAGGTAGACTCTGTGCTCAGGTGAAAAGTGCTCTCCCTGGGACTGGTCGAAAGCCCAGACAGTGCCTGAGTACAGAGCTGCCCATATGCGGCTTCCACCCCCATTCCCCTTTCCCCGAGAGTCCAGGCAGTGAGGAGGTGGTAGCACGGGTGGGCAGGGGGCAGGGAGCCCTGAGTTTCTCCCACAAGGCCCCATGAGAAGTTGGCAGCCCAATTAGTGCAGCATTCACGGTCAGCCTGTTCCAGGGGAAGAGCCCTGGCGGATGAAAGCCGAAAGGTTATTCCAACAGGAGCCACCCACTTCTCAGTTGTGAGTGATCCTGGCACGGTGGAGGAACTGAAGTGGGTGCATAATTCAGCATGTCAGGAGGAGAGCAGGAGCTGAAGGCAAAGCAGAGTGAATGCTGAGACAAGACATTGACCCCACCCCACCCCGCAATGTGTGCTTTCCTCTGGAGAGGGCCCTGCCCCTCTCCCGAGTACTGTGCCACGACTGCTCGGATGAAACAGGCCTGGGCTGACATCCACAGTTCCCAGAGACAACGTATGTATGTACATGTACTCACACACATATGCTGTGCATTATACGTGAACACAGCCATGTATGAATGTACAGATTAAGCACACATGTACATAAGGATGCATATGCAGGTACACGTGTGCACAAACAGATGCACGTTCACACAGGCATGCACATGTGTACACATGCCCAAACAGCCACCCGCCCATACACAGGCTCCAGCTAGGCCCAGGCCTGAATCCCTAGCTGTGATGTCTGTGGACACACATGCCTTATGGCCATCCTGCACCAGAGATTTCTTTTGATGAGGTCACAGCCCTTGCTCCCACTTAGGGTGACTAGCTTGTACTGGTTTTTTTGAGACTGTCTCAGTTTTAGCACCAAAAGTCCCACATCCTGGGAAACCCGTTGATGCCAGGCAAACCTGCCATGGGCCCCGTGCCCCTGACGTGGCACTAGGTACTCCTTCCCAGAACTCTCCTCACCATCTGCTCAACCCCAAGATGGACCCAGGGGCCTTTGGACAGGGCCAAGACCCAGCCTCTATCACCCTGGAGGCTCTGAGTCTCCTCAGGACTATTGGGAACCATTGTGTTTGTTGAGCGCCTATTTACTACATGCCAGGATGGTAAGTAGTACTAGTACCAGGATGTATGCTGGACCTTGTGCTTCCTGTGCATTGCCTCTCTGTCCTCCCAGTGACTTATCCAGCATTGTGACTGAGCACTGCTGTGTACAAGGTGCACTCAGCACTAGATGGAAAGTAAACGATGAATGAGTAAATTATGTGGTATATGAGAAGAGGGTGGATGCTAGGGAGTGAAGTAAAGCCAGCAGGGGACACCTTTCAAATAGGCTTCCTAAAGGAGGTGCCTTGGGGCAGAGTCCTGTAGACACTGGGAGCAGTTACTAACTATATGCCAGGGAAACCCAATGAAAATCTGAGTCAGAATTTGCCGTTCCTCTGCCCAGACCCTGCGTCTCACTCACAAATCTGTACTATGGCCCAGAATTCCCACTTCCCCCAGCCATACTGGTCCCCCTGCTGTTTCTCCTACATGCCAAAGTGCTCTGCTTCCAGCTGTTCCCTCTACTTGAAACACTGGGTTCCCGTGGCTGCCATGTTAGAGGAGACATGGGGCAAGGGTGGGGGCAGAGGAACCACTAAGGAGGCTACTGCAACAGTCCAGGAAAGCGATGATGGCAGTAGCCATGAGAAATGGATGAATGCTGGAGAAATTCTGAAGATGAACCCACAGGATTTCCAGGGAGTGGACATGGGGTGAGGTGTTTAGCCTGAGCAGCCAGAATGAAGGAGTGCCTTTACCTGAGATGAAGAAGATGAGTAGGGGAGGCTATGGGGGAAGAACAGAGTTTGGTTTGGATGGATTACGTTTAATGGATGATAAGGATGAGGCAGGTGGATACCAGTGTCTGTGAGGACTGGATTGGAGCTTTGATTATCCCTATTTTACAGGTAAGGAAAACAAGGCTTGAACAAGCAAGGGAACACAGGATGAGGTGTGAGGGAGTCAGGATTCAAAGCCAGGTCTCTGCTCCATGCCCTGTGCCATGGACAGGAGGCTGCTGCCTATTATGGCCACCCACCTAGGCCCAGCAGTAGGGGCTGATGAGAGGAGCCCAGCTGTGCCCTGACTGGCTTCCTTATCTCCAGGGCTGGGCCAGGTTATAAAGGGCAGGGTGGGTGTGGGAGCCAGGAACTCACCAGGAAGGGGCCTGTGGACACAAGTGGCACAAGTGCCAAGTGGCCTGAGGCGCCAGTAGCCCCACAAGTGCAGCCAGCCTGGCCTGAGGCCGTCATCCACCCAGCAGAAAGCATTCGGTTAGTATCGATTGGCTTAAAGAGGAGAATCTGGCCAGGCTGGGGGCAGGGGAGGGAGTACTGCAGAGCCAGAGGGATTGACCACATGGCTGACCCATCCCCAAGCCTCAAAGAGCTCCACAGATCTACTCGGGGGCCATGGGGCCATCCTTGCTCAGGGTCAGGGTGGGGCAGCCCCTTTGATGCCTGCAGGCTGGAGTGAGCAGCCTGGGACCTTGGGGTCTGAGAGGGCTGGCCAACCCTCAGCTGAGATGGCCTTGCCTACTGCAGGCAGCAAAGAAGCTGGAGTCTGCTGAGTGGAGCCTGTTCCACTGCCCTGCTCCTAGCTGTGTGGCTTGGCCAAGCACTGACCCTCTGGGTGGCTCATTTCCTCCTCTGTGAAGTGGTTTTACTCCCAGAGGGCTTTGAGGACTCCACGTAAAGTAGTTAAGGCTGGGTCCTCTGTGGGTTAGTTCCCTTCCTGCTTCCAGGGGTCAGGAAGCTTTGGGGGCCCTGTCACTCTGGCCATTGGGCCTAGCCTGGGGGAGGACCCTGTAAGTGCTGGTCCCAGTGCTCAGATCTTTGGCAACCCTAATTAGAGGGGTTGGGGGAAAGATGGAGCCTGCCTGCTTTCCTACCTCAGTGCCCTTGCACATGGTGTATCCTTGTAGTTGCCTTCCTGCCCACGGGACCATCCATAAGCACATTTGGGTGCTGCTGAGTGGACTGGGTGAGATGACCACTTGTGCTCAATCCACTCACCTCTGTCCCAGGTGAAGGATTGGGTTTGCAGGAAGAAGCGAGGAAAACAGTGCCAGCTCCCCAGGTCTTCTCTGTTGTAAGTGGCACATTGAGCCCTGAGTAGACTCCTCCTGCTGAATCCTAAGGCAGTCCTGTTTCACAGATTAAATACTCTAGGAGGCTGTGCAACAGCCCAAGCCTTGTAGCTGACTGACGACAGACCAATGTTGGCTGGTGGTACATGGGTCTCAAGGGCCTTCCCGAGCACCTTCCTTCAGCTTCCCCCTGGTGCCTTCCCTAGAACCTGGAACCTGGCTGTACTGCCTTGTATTATAAGTTCCAATGAGGACTCACTTGGCTCATGGCTGGGCTCTCTCCACACTGGCACCTCTGACGCTCCTGGACTCAGGATAAGTGTTGAATGGAGGGAGGAATGAATGAGGCTGCAGAGTTAGTGAGCTGTGATGTATGGAAGGTCATGAGGTTTGGGAGTAGCTGAGCTGTAGTGGAGGGCATTACCCATAGGAGGAAGGTAGCAGGAGGCCTGGCTTGCTTTCTTCAGGCCCCTCAGGGGGCGACCCCCCGCCCTATCTATAAGGAGGCTGAGGAGGCTGCTAAGAGGGGGTGCGAGGCCCTTCCACCGAGACTTGGATCCCTGTTAATTTGCAATCTTAAAATGCACAGCAAAAGCTTGGGGCCTTGTTGTTAGTACATTAATCAGGCAATCAGTGGAGCAGGGCTCCCAAGGGAGGCATGGAATGGGCACAAGAGGAGCCACGATGCATGCACAGTGCTTGCTTCCTTGAGAAGAAACCAGCAGGGTGACAATCCGGAGCCCAGCACTTGCTGGCTTGGGCAAGGGTACCAAAAATAGGCAGGGCTGGCTGGGACAGTTTGTCCAGGGTCTTGGAAATGGACCAGCCTCAGACTCAGTTGAGTCTGAGAGGAAATTCTTCTCCTCTCCATTCCCTCACATTAGGAGGGGTAGGTAATCTGGAAGGATGGCTTCCCTAGCATGGGCCCTGGCACTTGAGCAGTACTAGAAGATGGACAGCAGCAGCACTGGGCTCGGACCCCACCAGCTGGCTTCAGGAGAAGTCCTTCACTGTTCTCTGGGCCTTGGAAGGAAGTGAGTGCCCCATATGGTCCCTGGGGCATTGTTGCCCCAGGCAGCCCTGGAGTTTGAACTCAAGGCCTCATGCTTGCTATGCAGGCACTCTTACCACTTGAGCCACTCTGCCAGCCCATTTTTTGTGATGGGTTTTTTGAAATAAGGTCTCATGAACTGTTTACCTGATGCTAGCTTCAAACCATGATCCTCCTGGTCTCTGACTCCTGTGTAGCTAGGATTACAGGCATAAACCATTGGCACCTGGCCTGACAACATGTTCTTCCAATCTTGGCTGGGGTTCCTTGCTCTCCTAGGGCCCTCTCTGAAGAAGGGCAGGAGCCTTCTCTGGGCCCACCTTCACCCTACCCTGTCATCTGACCCCCTTCACCTGTCACACACATTCACAAAGTGGCTATTAATCCCACACCTAGATTTTTGGGCACGTTCTCCTGTGCACCAGCATCCCTTGGAGGCACTTGGTTTTTGTCTAGAGGGCTACCATCTCTTCATGTGGCCTCACAACTTCTTCTGGGGCCTTGTAGAGATAGAGCAACAGCAGCAGTTGGAGGTGGGCCGCCCCCACCCCACACCACACAGGGTAGTCTGGGGGTCAGAGGAGTGCAGACAGAAGCCCTCTGTAAACACCAGTGAGCTGTACAAATGTTGAGTGGGATTAGCTCTAAGCCCACCACAGGCCCTAACCCCCCACAGCTGCCGACTGAGGGAAGAAATGCCTTTGTCTTTACAGGACCCCAGCAGAGGCCATGCAATGTCCCCTTCAGCCTGAGATGTGGGACAAGCACAGTGAGAACCAGGAATGACCTTGAGCCAGGAACCTGATTTGCTCAAGAGTGGTGGGAAGGGGGCACCCCTGGGAGAAGGTTCTGGCAGATGTGACCTTCCTGGAAGAAAGCAACCAGGACAGGAGTGAGGGGTGCAAGCTGAGCTGGGAGACTGGAGGGTCGGCCCTGTGGAAGTGGGTCAGGCCTTCCCAGCCTGGATGTGGAGGTTGAAGGCACTGGGTAGGCTCCCCTCAGGCCAGCTGATATATGGAGCCCAGGCTCCTATCCCCTCCCATCTCTGCTTCCGCTGCAGGGTTGGGGCCTCTGGGCAGGTGGAGGTGAGCAGTAGGGGCTGAAGGCCACACCCAGGCTGAGGGAGAGGCTGGCAGAATGAGCATGTCCTAGGCATGTTCTGGAAATTGAGGCAGAGGCAGCAGCAGCTTTAGCTTGGCTGGTAGGCTGTCCAGTGTCTGGGTGTCTAAAGGCACTGCAGAGGCCACATAGAGCTTGACCTGGCACTAAAAGGGTCCTCGGCTGTGCTGCCACCACCACAGAGGTCATAATTGCTCTGAAATCACAACCAAACCCAATTATGCAAAAACTAAATTATGTGCAATGATTTTTATGTGCTGGAAACGTTCAGTTGAAGCCGGGTGATTACAGGGGGACGGGAAGCAGCTGCCAGTCTCTGGGAGCCCATAACTCCCAACAGCTGGGAGCTGTCACTTATTTATGATGCCATTTCTGTTGGGAACAAGGGGGTGGCAGTGGTGGTGAGACCTGCTCAGCCAGAAGCCTGAGTAGCACCAGTCCTGAAAGCCAAGGTGGGTGGGCGGGCGGCCAGCCCTGGAGTGGCCAGGAGGGTTGTTCCTCTCATCCTATATGCTCTGGGCACAGCTGGCAGCAAGAAGACTCAGCTGAGCTGCCCCCAGGCACCCTGGCCCTCTCAAGAGGCCTGACTGAACAAAGTGTAAGAGATGGGGCAAGAGGCCAACTCAAGCAGGGGGAGGTGACTTCCCAGCCCTCCAGGGTGGGTGTCTGTAGGCCTGGAGCCTGTCCGCTCCACCCTGGCGCGCCTGCTGGGTCACTTGGGGCAGCTGTGACCCTGAAAAAGAGGCAGGTAATGACAATCGTTCATAATGAGGATGCTACGATAATGAGCGTGGGGCTATTACCCGACCACAGGCTGGACACATCCGAAAATAAATTATCTTAAGGATCCATTAACGAATGCCTAATTAATGCCCAATTAAAGGGAAGCTACAGAGGAAATGCTCTGGACGGACAGTCAAGAGGCAAGGCCTGGTTTTGCAGCCACAGCCTGGGAGCTCAAGGGAGGTGGGGAGGGGAAGGGGGCCAGAAGGTGGACAGGGATGGGGACAGCCTCCATCTGGCCATTTCATAGACCCCAGAGCAACTTCATGTGTCAGCCCTGGTGCCATCCCCGGTCCCTCACAGACATGTGCCTTCCTTGTACATCTGCCCAGCTCTGAGAGGGAAAACTAGTGTTATGTGGATTTTAGAACTGAGGAGACTGAGGCACAGAGTGGGTGTCACATATTTGAAGATGTGCAAGTCAATGTAAGCAAGACTTGTTTTGAGGAACACTTTGGTCATGTATGCATGCTTTGCTTGTTATTGGGAATCATTTAAATAAAATGATTCTCAGGACTTCAGATGAGATATTTACTTTGTTAGAACCACTGTCTGTGACAGCAGATAATGATAAGCAAGACGCAGACTGGAACAGAGCCTGAGACTGACTGACCTTGTCCTTGGTGTGGCCCTCACCACAGCAGGGCTGACAAAGCCCAAGGGGGTGAGGCTCAGTCACTTGGGGCAGGACGGAGGGGCTTCATAAAGGAGCGGAGCTAAGGAGACATGGGGTGCTCAGGGCCTTCACACCAGAGTTACCTCCCAGCCTCTTAGCCTAAGAGACCCTGGGGAACCATACAGACAAGCACAGGGCCTCAGTGGGCCCAGGAGCGTCATACACCAGTCCCCATCTGACCCCTTTGACCATCTGTCTGCTACCTCTCCAGGCAGCCCCTGACTGGCTGTGCTGTTTCTCTCCCTGCCAGGGTGCTGTGTGGAATTGCTGCTGCTGCTGCTGGCCGGGGAGCTGCCCCTGGGTGGCAGCTGCCCACGGGACTGTGTGTGCTACCCAGCGCCTATGACTGTGAGCTGCCAGGCACACAACTTTGCTGCCATCCCAGAGGGCATTCCAGAGAACAGCGAGCGCATCTTTCTACAGAACAACCGAATCACCCTCCTCCAACAGGGCCACTTCAGCCCCGCCATGGTCACCTTGTGGATCTACTCCAACAACATCACCTTCATTGACCCCAACACCTTTGAGGGCTTTGTGCACCTGGAGGAGCTGGACCTCGGGGACAACCGGCAGCTGCGGATGCTGGCACCCGAGACCTTCCAGGGCCTGGTGAAACTTCATGCCCTCTACCTCTATAAGTGCGGACTGAGTGCCCTGCCAGCGGGCATCTTCAGTGGACTGCACAGCCTGCAGTACCTCTACCTGCAGGACAACCACATTGAGTACCTCCAGGATGACATCTTTGTGGACCTGGTCAACCTCAGCCACTTGTTTCTCCATGGCAACAAGCTGTGGAGCCTGGGCCAGGGCACCTTCCGGGGTCTGGTGAACCTGGACCGGCTGTTGCTGCATGAGAACCAGCTGCAGTGGGTCCACCACAAGGCTTTCCACGACCTCCACAGGCTGACCACCCTCTTCCTCTTCAACAACAGCCTCTCGGAGCTGCAAGGTGACTGCCTGGCCCCGCTGGCGGCCCTGGAGTTCCTTCGCCTCAATGGGAATGCCTGGGACTGTGGCTGCCGGGCCCGATCCCTGTGGGAATGGCTACGGAGGTTCCGCGGCTCCAGCTCTGCGGTCCCCTGTGCATCCCCCGAGCTGCGGCAAGGCCAGGACCTGAAGCTTCTGAGAGCCGAGGACTTCCGGAACTGCACAGGGCCAGCATCCCCGCACCAGATCAAGTCACACACGCTCACCACCACTGACCGGGCTGCCCGCAAAGAACACCACTTGCCCCACGGCCCCAGGGACAGGGGCCACCCCCATGGCCATCTGCCTGGCTCCAGGTCAGGTTACAAGAAGTCAGGCAAGAACTGTACCAGCCACAGGAACCGCAACCAGATCTCTAAATTGGGCAGCGGGAGAGAGCCCCATGAGCTACAGGACTATGCCCCTGACCACCTGCACAAGTTCAGCTTTGACGTCATGCCCACGGCACGGCCCAAGAGGAAGGGCAAGTGTGCCCGCAGGACCCCCATCCGTGCCCCCAGCGGGGTGCAGCAGGCCTCCTCAGGCACTTCCCTAGGGGCTTCACTCCTGGCCTGGATACTGGGGCTGATGGTTACTCTCCGCTGAAGACCTACAGCACCAGCACCCAGCGCTGCCACATGTTCAACAAGGAACAGAGTTTTTTTCTTCTTTTTTTTATAAGTGAAGGATCTGCTGGGTTTCAGGAAAAGGCTGATGGAGCCTTCAGCTGCTGTCCGGACCCTACCCAGTGGATTATAAGCCCAAGTGTACAGCCCTACGTGGGAGGGCATTAGCACATTTCACCCAGTCGTCCCAGCCAGCCCCCGCTGAGCATCCATGGACAGTGTCCACTTCGGCATGGTGGTTAAAGGCACATGAAGTCAATACTTCATGGTGGGACAGGTGCCCCTTCCAGGAGCTGGGCTTTGTGGAATCCTGATCATCTAGAGAGATCTAAGGGGCTGACATTCCTAGAGGAAGCAGGACTCAGAACACACAAGGCTTACCCAGAGCTGTCTGGGTCGACCAGAAGTTTGGGAACACTCAGAGCAGGTGGTATCTTGGCCCTTGCCTGAGGCCATTTAGTCAACTTATCCTGAATCCAAATCTATGCCACCTTCAGTTCCTCCCTTGGGGAATGCCTCTCATTCCTGATGTCTCAGGCAACCCTGGCAGACCCAGACCCAACTGCTGGGGTCCAAGAACCAATTACCAAAGGAAAGATCATCAGAGGCTGAAATTTAGAACTTCGTCACATGCAATGAGATTCTCACAGAAGGTGCAGTTTTATACCTATGTCCACTTATATATATATAAGTTTATATATATATATATATATATATATATATATATATAAACCACACACTCCACATATATATATATATATACAAATGCACAGGTCCCCCGCCCTACTCCGTTACCAAACTGTATGTCTTATCATGTTTATAAACTATACAGAAAACTATATCTGCTGATATAAGGAGATCGTATTGGTGATTTCTAGCAAGAAAAAAATGTTACAGAATTTTGTCTAGAATCCCTGGCAACAATAGTCCCTATGTAACCTGGACTTGCCAAGGCCAGGGGCAAGGTGTCAGTGGAAGGGTTAGAGAGAAAGAGAGGCAGCAAGAATAGAGGACCAATATTATTAGATACTTAGAAAATCACCTTGTTTTTATATGCAGCACAAGCCTGTCTGGCACCCTGGAGCACCCCTTCACCCCTACTGTAGAAGCTGTGGGCGTCAGGGTGAGAAGTAGGAAGCAGTGTGTTAGATGTCAGGGAACCAGGCACTGGGGGCCAGCTAGACAGAGGAGAGGGACGAGGCTTTGGGGTTTTTAAGCCAGCAGGCAAGGCAGCATCCACAGTGTTAGTCCAATGGGTTGGACAGTGTCCTCGACCTAGCATTTTGCCAGTGATGATCTGGACAGGCCAGGGAGACTCTGAGCAGGAGCCCTGGCCTTGAGCATGGCTCAGCAGCTGTATTTTAACCTGAGGCTCTTTGGTTAGTGACCTAGGAAGGACCCTGTGTAGCATAGCAGGAGGAAAGCATCAGGTGACCTTAGCAGACGGGAATGATAAAGACATTTCAAGAACCATCTATCTCAGGCACTTCTGCATTACAAGGGCCTCATCTCTCCTGGCCCTCCTGTTCCAGGAAAGGCAAGGTCAGAAAGCCAGACTCAGGAGTCAGGAACCAGGCTAGGCAGCATGCTGACAACAGAGCAGGCATGCCCTGTCAGGAGAGAGGGGCTATTGGCCAGGGGCCCGGGCAAACACAGTCTCTTTTGCGCTTTGCACAAACCCGAATTCTCCACCAGAGAGGATGTGTGTGAGAAATGAGAAATGCTGAATCCAATTAAGAGAGAAAAATAATAATAAAAAATTTTTCTTGGACAAAAACCCTGTTTTTCATTTCCTAACCCCGCATTCATGACGGGGTGGCAGATCCTGGGCTTTGGTGGGGTGGGCGAGCCTGGTCGGGCACAGCTCTGAGAACACAACAGGCTTGTTGGCAGGAGGAACTGTAGGGGGCAGGGGCACACTGACTCAGAGGGACACACAGGAGCAGGTACACGCTTGTGCGCGCACACACACGCGCGCGCACACACACACACACACGCGCGCACACACACGCACACGCTTGTTCTCTGTTCCACGATTCTTCCCTCACCCGCACAGAACATGATTCACTTCCCATGTTCTGACTGCACTGGGTCGGCACTATCTCTGTGTCTCTCCCCAGAGCAGACTGGTCCTGGATCCTTCCTGTCCAGTCCTAGCAGCAGCAGCAGCTATTGATTCTTAGGAGGCTGGGCAGCAACTGGAAGGGAACAGCCAGTTCCTGGGGCCTGAGGGTTTTACAGGAGGCCAGGGACTGATTAGGACAGTAGCAGACAGTAGAGAGGCTGCATTTGCCTCTCTGGCTTTGAAGATTGAGGGTAGAAGGTTGCTTTCAGTACAAGGCTCAGGACATTCACGGAAGGGGGCATGGTGGTGGCAGAACAAATCATCCTGGGCCTGCCATCACTCCCAGCAGTTCCCTGCTCTGACCCAGACCAGTGCCTGGGCCCGGCTGTCCCTTAGAACCAGGGAGGTTGTTATGTTGTTGCTTTCATTTCCAACCTCAGACAGCAAGGCCCTCAGTGGGAAAATCAAAAGTATAAGCACTTTATTAAATTTAAAAAAAAAGAGTAAGTCCTGTGCCATGGAAGCGAAATGTCAGTGGGAGAAATGTTAATGTCTTAAAGACTCTGCTTCTGTCCAGCCCAGCATAGCCTCTGGTTGTTGACCGTTATTACAGGCAGGCAGTGGGACCCAGGACACTGGGTATATTTTTAGTAGCTTTCTCCTCTAGGAGGTAGGAGGAATGAAGGCAGCTCTGTTGAAAATGACATCACTTGTCACTCAGCAGCTCCTATGCAGCACAGTTATGATGACACCATTGTCCCAGACACAAAAGCAGGTTGACATGTTGGGGCCAAGGGAGGCCTCTCTTTTCACCAGAGCTGGCCACCCAAGACATTCCGGGCAGGGTGATGTGGAACCTTGTCCTCATCCTGGGAGCTGAGGTCACTCCCCATCTGCTCCTGATGAGGCCAGTCCCTCTGTCATCTTTACTCAGTACTTTTTGGCAGTCCCAGGAAGGACCATCTCTTCTCCTTCCCTCCTGTCCCACCAGGCGTCCCTTTACTCTGGGATGACAGGGAGAGAGAGCCAACCCGGCTGGAGGTTCTGAGTGGCCCCTGGTGGTCTCAGAGTCTCCCCACACAAGCTCCTTCCATGACCCCAGAGCTTGACTGGCGCCTTTGTGCACCAGCCATCGCTCAGGCTCTGGGAACATAATAGTGTGAAGACATGGCTCTATAAGGAGTCAGAGCTGGTGGAATGGCTCAAGTGGCAGAGTGCCTGCCTAGTAAGCATGATGCCCTGAGTTCAAACCCCAGTGATGCCAAAATAAATAAAAGTCAGGAGCTCAGAGCCTAGCTATGGGAACAAGTTTGGGTTGTTTTGTTTGTTTTTTAAAGGTACTGGGATTTGAACTCAGGGCCTCACCCTTGCAATTCAGGCACTGTATCACTTGAGCCATGACCCTAGCTCATTTTATTTTTGGTTGGGTCTCACTTTTGCCCAGATGTTCCCTTTCTTTTTTTTTTCTTTGGTGGTAGGGTGTGAAATCGGCCTCATGCTTGCTAGGCAGGCACTCTATCACTTGAGCCATTCCACAGCCCTCACTTTTGCCCAAGACTGGCTTTGAATAACAATCCTCCCATGTCTGCCTCCCGCATAGCTGGGATTATAGGTATATACAACAATGTCCAGCTGGAAACAAATATTCTTTTTTGTGTGTGGTGCTGGAGTTCGAACTCAGGACCTATACTTTGAGCCACTCCACTAGCCCTTTTTTTGTGAAGATTTTTTTGAGATGGGGGTCTCTCAGAACTATTTGCCAGGGCTGGCTTTGAACCGCTTTCCTCCTGATCTCTGCCTCCTGAGTAGCTAGGATTACAGGTGTGAGCCATGAACGCCTGGCTTGGAAACAAATATTCTTGATTTGTGGGATTGGTGTCTGTGTTATCACTGTCATCCCACCAAAATAAGGAGCTTGGATGGGGTGGAGGCTTCCAGGAGGTGACACTCTGATGGTCTCAGAGGATAAAGAGTTGGCCAGAGGAGAATGTGGAGAGGATTCCAGTCCAAGAGCTGGAGGCACACACTAGCACAGCCCTTGGGGAATTGACAAACAATGGAGACTTAAGTGTGGAAATGCTGTTTGTTGGGGGCGTTGCGAGACCAGCCTGGCAAGGGGGAGTCCCAGGGGTCCCACTCAGAGATTTGGATTTGCCTTGGAAGTGAGGGAATGTGTGGTTCTTCCTCTCTGGGTCTTCTTTCCGTCCCCTAGCCTCTCAGTGAGCACGTGGTCCCCCCGTGGCACCCTCACCAATGTTCTTCAACAGTGGGTTTCATCACTGCCACTTGCCTCTTATACTCAGCCAGATCCTTTCTCTGTGCCAGCAAGCTGGAGCGCTCGCTGGAAATATGCCTGGGCCACAGTCCCATTCCCAGACACCTGCTGCTTCCAAGCTCAGAATGTATTCCATAACCGTTTAGTCTCAGCTGCCTGCTCTCCTGGTTCTCCCATCCCCACGGCCCCACCCTCAGCCTGTCAAACACTTGCCCTGCCCACACATCCCTTTGGCCATTTCCACATATGCCTGCTGTGGTGGACCACAGCAATCTCCAGGACCTCTCTCTTGAACTCCATCTCCCCATATCCCTCCTGCTAGGCATGTTCATTACCAGAGAGCCAAGAACCCCACTTAGCAAATGTTTACTCACCACCTACCTGGGTCACCTAGCATTCTTTGGCTAATAACGGCCACCCGGAAGCCTGTGAGCAGCTCTGAGGAACCTGGGGGCCAGGAAGGCTTCTTCAAGGCTGGGCTGCAGGGCTTGGGGTCAGAGAGGATGAATTTCCTGGGCAGTGAGTTGGGAATCCTCAAAATTCTCCTTTGTATTAGCACCAAGTCCCCAAGCTTTCTCCACCTGTCCCTGATCAGACTCTCTGTGGGCAACAGAGAACCGAATTCCTCAAGGTCTTTCTCCATGCTGACCTGGAGGAGCGAGCCAGCCTTTTTCTGTATGCATTCTTTTTGGGTTTTTTTGGCTTTTTTTGAGACAGGGTCTCACTATGTAGCCCAGGCTGGCCTTGAACTCCTGATCCTCCTGCCTTTGCCTCCTGAGTTCTGGGATTACAGATGTCAAACATCACACTCAGCTTGTCTGTGTGCATTCTTTGATGATGGAAGGGTGAGTACACATTTCTATGGTCCAGTCCACCACCTGTCACAGCCTTCTGACCTGCTGTTTCTGCATTCTGGCTTATCAACTCCCAGCCTGTCTCCCTCACTTCACCTTCCTTTAAGCAGGAGTTTAGCCCATCAGCCATTTCTCCATCCCATGTCACCAATCCCCCACTATCAACTCGTAATGGGCCAATTTTCTTTTACTTTCTGTCTATTTGGAAAATATCTCAAGAATCTTTCATTGTGAGCTAAAATATCCTTTACAATCCCATGCTCAATATCTCTTTCTGTTCCTCTAATTGTCCCTCTTAACTCACTGTACTTCCCATATAAATCTCCTGGTCTTCCCTTTGCAGGCTGTTAATAAATATGAGCTCTAAAAAAATATACATAAACATCTATTGTTGGCTAAATAACTCACTGCACAATCAAAAAGCCAGGAAAAAAAGAGGCTCTGTGAGATGAATGTGTTGTCTCTCCCTCTCTCTCT